ATCGTATTGGACAAATCTGCTGCAAAAGACCTCTTTAAAGTACTGAAGAGCAAAGATGTCTCTTTGAAAAATAAGGTGTGCCTAAACTTTGGTGGCATAGTGTCTAAGGCATTTGACTGCTAACCAGAAGACAGGCAGTTCAATCCCACCAGCTACTCCTTGGAAGGAAGATTGGGCAATCTACTTCCATAGAGATATTGCCTTGGAAACCCAAGGAGGGGTTGCTATGAGTCAAACTGACTTGGTAGCAGTGAGTTTGGTCTTTTTTTTTTTTTGGTTCACCCAAGCCATAGTATTTTCAATTGCCTCATATGTGTGTGAAAGCTGGACAATGAATAAGGAAAACTGAAGAAAAGTTGATGCTTTTGAGTTGTGGTGTTGATGAAGAATGGTGAAAGTACTTTGGACTGCCAGAAGAGCTAACAAATCTGTCCTAGAAGAACAATGCTCCTTGGAAGTGAGAATAGCCAGACTTCGTCTCACCTACTTTAGTCATATTGTTAGAAGTGACCATTTCCTGGAGAAGAATATTATGCTTGATAAAGTAGACTGTCAGTGATAAAGGGGAAGGTCCTCAATGAGATGGATTGATACAGTGGCTGCAACAATGGGCTCAGGTATAGCAAGGATTGTGAGGTTGGTGCAGGACAGGGCAGTGTTTTATTCTGTTGTACCTAGGGTTGCTACCAGTCAGAGCCAACTCACTGGCACCTAACAACAGCAACAGCAATCTTCAGTTTGCTAACGTTACTCTTACCTCGTCATGTCTTTTAGATTTTGTCCAATCAGCTACTCTTGGAATTCTACTCTTTCTTTCAACTGACTCTTTCTGTATAACCCATAAATATACCCAAGTCTTTCACACCTTGAAAAAATAAACAGATAACCCCTTCCCACATCTATATGATCTACTCAAGGAATACCTCCAACTCTGTTCTTCCTGTTCTCAGGCAAAGAGAGAAGAAATCCCTATCTTAATTCATTACTTCCTCTAAGTATCTCATAAACTTAATGCAGTCTGAATATCAGTGTCTACAACTCCAGTGTCATTATGCAGTTCCTGACTATCCTGCAAGTTATTGATCCCTCCTTAGAGTCTGTTGTTTATCTCTGGTGACACCAAACACAGGATCTTTTCTACCTCTGTGACTTATCAGTTTCAGAATAATTTGCTACGATGATTATTATTATTTTTTTTTTTCTGACCATCTATAGAATTGCATCTTTGGCTTTTCCCTTCCCACAGTGGACATAATTATTGGTTCAAATGCAATTGATATTTATTTGCATGACCCTCATATGTTGTTGTTGTTGTTATGTGCCGTCGAGTCAGCCCCGACTCATAGCGACCCCTCCTTGGGTTTCCGAGGCAGTTATCACTATGGAAGTAGGATTGCCCAACCTTCCTTCCGAG